TTTTGTCCTTATTTTGGTGTGTTGCCGTATATCTGGATTTTTTTATCGTACCTAATTTTTGTGAGTATCAAAAACAAAACAAGGAAATCTTAAAATTTGCATGCTTTCTTCGTCTTTTTCATTGTAAACGCACGAGTATTCAATCTATAGAGTTGATGTGCGTACGTGTACCTGAACATTTCTAGTCGTGAATACTTCTACAATAAATAAATAAATAAATATTTGTGGGTATGTAAATCGCCTATCTAGTATGACTGGTAAGTTCAGTCTCCAGTTGATGTTTGAATCTACACTGGTATATATGTAAAGTCTTCAGACGAGGCCCTTCAAATTTCTGAGGCGAGGAATTGAACAAATTGCAAACAGTACATTTGGTAGATATTAGCAAATAATGAACAGCGTGGTATGATGGATAAATAAATTGTCTTACATCTAATGATCGGAAGTCATCACTATATATAGAGAGAGAGAGAGAGAGAGAGAGAGAGAGAGAGAGAGAGAGAGAGAGAGAGAGAGAGAGAGAGAGACCTGTTTTGATAAGTTATATTTTAAAATACATGTACACGCAAGGAAAATAACTTTCAGTTTCAATTTAGAGCTAGATCAAGTATAAGTATATATATATTCTGTATAAATAAAATTGCACCAATTCCATACCTTTTAGGTCTCGTTGGCATTAGAGGACCTTCACCCCTTAATCTAAATGATTCAGTGGTTAAGATGTCTATGAGAGTTGGAAGGGGATTGGGATGAAAAAATGATTTTAAAAAAGGGGTGACCATGTCTAGGGGGTCAATCAAACAGCGGGAAGGGAACTGGAGTTGAAAACGGTCGGTTCAGTTATATTATCAAAAATGTTTTATTCTTATACAAGCATGATGACGTGTTTAAAATGTGTCAATTTATTTCGATTCATATTGAAACTGATACAAGAAAAAAAGCGTATGCGTTTTAAATCAGATGAGTCTGTGTCAAAAATAGATTTGTCTTAATTCACCTAGATTATCGAAAGCTAGCGGATTTTGTCTGTCTGTCGCGCGATTGTGGTCGTAAACCAGTACATTAATCTGTGTTACTGATTAGAAACGTTAATGTCCTGTTATATCAGAATTCGGTCTCTGAGACCAAGTCGGCGAATTAGACTTGTCGACATCTTCGTGACGAAGACATTCAGATTAAAACTGTTTTCTCATGTTAGGCCAATTTTAATGTGTCTAGAATATCTCAGCATGCTTTCTCCTGTTTACATTATAGATCCATAAAAGGTATAACTTGTTATCTTAAATATAAGCTTGCTAACATGACGTCTATATGACGGCTTGTTAACAGTGTGGAAAGTTATGTATAAGAAACAACAACGAAATTGCTGGCATGTTAATCGGATTATAATTCACACAAAAAATCGATGAAACCAGTGCAAAATTTAAACGAATGAAATATTTTCAAGATTTAATACGAATTATTCTGACGCTCTGTCGACTTTTATGTATCAGCTTGGAGTTGATGAACGTCAGATTGCCGTCCTTAGAAAAGGTGGGGAAATAAGCGACTCGTGCATGGATCAGTATTCAGACGATAATTGTCACATGCATATCGCACATAGATTGAAAGGTCCGTCCCTAGAAATTTGTAGAATGAACCAAACTAAAAAAGATATATATCAATCAGTGATATTTGTGTATCAAGTTGTGTTGAGTACCTCAATGTGACGAAATGTCACGTCCTTGCTGTCGAGCGAGATATCACAAGCATATTGTGTTAATGATTAAATTATATAATAGAACTTTATGCAGTTACATGTGATCCGCCATTGTAGGTTCTGTAAAGTTATGGATATGATCAAAAGACTGTTTACCGCCTTATCTTGGAAAAAGACAGTTTTGAGTCTAACTTGGTGTTTTTCCCCGCTACCAAACAAGTGAAAGTCTAGAGGCTTGAGGGACAGGCCAAAGTTACTTAAATTTCAAACAATCTTCTTTTTACAACATATATCGTAAATTAAAACATCTAGAATGGCATGGCGCTTCTGAAGCTGTGAATTTCATTACCCAGGGTCCCACATGTTCCCCAGTGAAGGAATATAATTCACATTAGTTCATAAAGGATAAAATTTTAACAGCTTTCTTCTTTAATCAGATAGATACTGGAATCATAGTACTAGATATTTTGACAGGAAAGTTTTATAGTATTTTGTTTGTTTGTTTTTTTGTTTTTGTTTTTGTTTTTGTTTTTTTTTTTTTTACTTTGAGGTTTATTTGAAAATATTGACCAATGGCCCTTTCCCAAAAATAATTTTCTTTGTCTTAAATTGAGCAATTTCTGTATGTATATTGCACGTTGTCCTGTATCATGCCAAAGTTCTCTATGTTCCAAGGGAGAGTACTCGTACTTCTATGTATATTTTTTTTATCCGAACATAAGAGTCGATGACTGTCAGTGTAGATTTGAATATCAACAGTATTGCTTTCTGGAGTAGTGACAGATATCGAGACAGTTTTGTGTAGAGGTATCAACTTGCTCCATTCTTGCCAACAATACAGTGCTTGTATTGTGGAATACAATAAGTATCCGCGTGAAATAACCACAAAAATGTTTGAAAACTAACATTTTATAACCAACTGAATTAATGTACCTATCTATGTATAGCCCGACCTCCATTGATTATATTTATGTGAAGAGGAAAAACAAAAATCTAAATGCGTCATAATTACATCTTGTACTAACGGGACTCTGACGGTACCCCACTGTTTACTGAAGTATCGGACGGGTAAGTAAATGTGTGACGTGCAAATAGTGTCACACTGACGAAATGGAAAAACCGCAAACAGAAATTCTGTTTGGATTAATTGTGCACGGACATAGATCTATGTAAAGACTTTTATGATAAATTACGCACCATGACATATTTATAACAAAAATGAAATGCAAGCAAATTGCTGGAAACTGAATGGAAGGAAAATCATACATCCCTGACTTCACATAAAGTGATTCAGTCAATACAAACACAATACATGTACGTGTACCTCGGTGAACATTTCAGATTGTTTATGGTTTGTTATTTATCGTTTGGTAATTTGTTTCAGATGCTACACCTGAAGTGTATTAAGTAAACGTCTTAATTGATAAAAATTATTTAGTGCAAATCCGTGCATATATGCTGACCCTGTGAAAATAGAACATATTATATAGAAAATATATACCCTTACAAGTAATGGAAAATGAGAAAGACATAGGCGTGATTATCGACAGATCTCTCACATTCGAAGATCACATAAGCACCCAAGTGAAGAAAGCTAACTCTGTTTTTTCCTAAAACCAGAGACGTCTCTGCTAAGACGAACATAATTTTTCATTTCTATACAAAACATTAGTAAGAGTTCACCTTGAATATCCTAATACTGCGTGGCATCCCTTAAAATTGAAGCATATCAATATGGTTGAAGCAGTACAAGGGAGAGCTACGAAACAGAAGCCTGGTTTTCGGAACTTATCATACCCTGATCGACTGAGGAAACTCAAATTACCAACACTCAGCTATCGGACACAATGAGGGGATATGATAGAGGTGTTTAAAAGCCTTAATAATGTTTACGATGAATGTGCAATGGATTTTATTAGGATGTGGAGAGATCATTCGCAAAGGCAGGGATTAAGAGGTCATTTGCTGAAAATATTTCCACAACATTCCAGACTGGATATTCGCAAGAACAATTTTTCATTACGTATTGCAAAAGTTTGGAATTGTCTTCTGGAAAATGTGGTATTATCGGCGACCGTACTAAAAAAGACTGGATATATATTGGAAAAATCAGGAACTCCTCTATAGTTATAGATCTCAGACAGAGACGTATTCACATATGTGATATATACGTATCTACGTATATATATATCTGATCTCAGATACATTAACAAGTAACGTCGAATTCACTTTCATTTTGATTTTGATGTCATGTTTTTTGAGTCTGACGAAGAGGATCTTATAAGATTCTGTAACGGTTGATAAAGTTAACTTAACTTAAGTACCGAATTATTGCCCTTGTTTACCAAACGTCAACGATAGGTGTCGTGCATTGTTTACATCGAGGCGGCCATATTCAAGAAAACGAAAACATCCGGCTACATGCTGCAGACACATAAAGGTAAAATTATGAATGATTTAGGTAATTGACCGATGAAGATATTTGGTTGTTGAACACATATCTTTTATGTTTATTTAATTATATATATGCACCCATGTTATCATTAGTAAACATCAATGTTCTGCGGAACACCGCTATGTGAGAAAACATGTGCAGACACATCTGACATAGAACACATCAGCCGATCAACTGAATATTGTTGCTCAAAGTTAATCGTTATAAAGACTCATATATTATTTTGCTGTTTTGTTGAGGTATGTGTAAAAATTGTTAAAGACATGATGTGCATCCAGAAATCTTTGGTTTTCTAATCCATTTGTAGAATCCATGGAACACCCCTAGATGGTCACGATCAGTGATCAAGGGCCCAGACATAAACGTCCACAAGATGTACATAGATAAATAAAGATAATTGTAAATATTTCCCTACACATTTGTACATATGCATAAAAATGATAAAGGTGTTTTACTGAATACAGTCACATATTTTCACATATATTGGTTGTAATGCAATTTGATTGTGTATGTGTGGGGGAAGGGAAAGGGTAGATTATAGTTATAGTCTACACACACCTGTCAAAAAGGAAATTGAAAAAAAATTAAAAACATATATATAAATAACGATTTGGCTGGCATGTTACTCAAGTGGTTGTGTGTTTTGGGAGGGGGTAATTTAGATAATAGTTAAATCTACACACACCTATCAAACAGAAATTACAACAACGGAATTATGAATCAGCATTTCAGTTAGGTTCTTTCAAAAGTAATATTTTTACCCATTCATTTTGAATATTTAGTTAACCAAGCTGTATTGACTTTATATTGTTTCAGTACAAAATGACATCAAAGAGAGCACATAATTTTGTGAGGTGAAAATTTCATAGTTGCTGTTAGATACCTACAAAAAATATGGCTTCCAGATCTCGAAGATTAAATGAAGAAGACCGTTGTAAGTATTTGATGGTCAACATTTTCTTGTTATATGTTACATCTGCTCCTTTTGAAAATATCTCCAAATCTTGTTTGCTTAATGAAATATCAATTATATCATTTGAAAGTTTCTCAAACAATAACCACAAAACATTTTGTAAAGTAATTTATCTCTTATTTATATGTTTTATGACTTCATGTTAGATCAAAAGATGACCTTCCATATATACTGGAGTGGTGGTGATGCAAGTCCAATGTTACTTCCCAATCATTAGATGAATATATAGGCCAACCATTGAAAATGTTATTTGAAATGACTAAATTTATCGTGAACAAATCTAATATCACCACTCATTTAATATTTGATACATGAAATATTGTGCAGTAATAAGACCAATTTTAGCAGAGGTGTTACGTCCTGATGAATTACTCTCAAATGTGACTGATATGATTGATTCTTAGCCTCATATCAAAGGAGAAAGTCCAAAATATATGTATATTATAAGTAAAATTTGTCTAGATCAATCTCTGGATTCAGTCTCAAATTGCTTTGTAAAATATTTATCACATCTGTTAAAGTGAAGGGTATAATGGAAATTTTATGAAAACATTTAAAAGGAATTTTATTTTCTCGTTTTAGGCATTGTGTCTCAGGCAAATACTCTCTTAGAACAACTGAGTATATTTACCCCAATCAGTTGTGTGGAAGATCTCAATGTTGTTACATATGTAGCCTTGTTTGAAGGACTTCGAGGGGAGCATCTAGCAGGTAATTCTCTTCACAAATTCATTGTGGAATTATCTTTGTGGAAAATGGAAACAATGAATGTGAATTGATTTATTAGTGTTATCAGTGATTTTAATTACCTTGTATATCTCGAAATAAATCAGTTCAAGTGTTTTTCTCATTGAGAAATTCATTTATACAAATAGCTTTCTTCATTAGTTGTTGCAGAGTTAATAGTTGCTTTATCCTATCACTCAGGCATTGTTCGTAACCCACTGACCAAGGAGGATGAAATACAGAATTGTCAGATTGTGATTGATACACTAGCCAATGATGTCCTTCACACATCACTGTCCCATATCTCTGGTCGAAGGGTGGTGGAGCATGACCGGGAATCCATCTTCCATCTACTGGAGATCTTCAGTGGTCTTTTAGAGTACATACTCAACAAAATTGAGAGTGATGCTTCTACAGATAACGACGGTAATTGTAGACTGATGACTGAAAATTTTGAATGCAGAAAAACATAATGGTACTTAAACATCATAAACTATAGCCACATAAATTGTAAATTTGAAACTATAAAAAAAAAGAAGAGGAAACCTCACATTGATCTCTGAAATCAATGGTCATTGTGTACCCACATCAAAAATATATTTGTAGGATGATTGTCACCAGTGTAAAGATAATGACATTATGTTGAAATGTATGTAATGTAGGGGAAGAAGATTTTGAGGATCCAGATGCTGTAGAGCCAGATGTGATTGACGAGATACTGGAGCGTGAGCTCCAACGAGGTCCACAAGACCCTCTATCTCCAGAGGGGAGGAGGAAGACTGATGTTTCCTCTGTGTATTGGGATGATAGGTGAGTTCTGTTTAGGTCCACAAGACCCTCCGTCTCTTCAGGGAGGGAGGAAGACAGATTTTTCTTCTGTGTATTGGGATGATAAATGAGTATGAATGTAGTCCACAAGACCCTCTGTTCCCACAGGTGAGGATGAAGAGTGAAACCTCTATGTAGATGAGTATCAGTGAGGTTCACAAGACAGTCTCCTAAGGGAAGAGGAAGACTCTGTGTATTGTATTTTTTTCTAAAGATATCATATCTCCCTCACAAGCTAATTTCTTACTATGAGACTTCCATATCAATTATGGTTTTGAAATGTCAATTAACTGTCATAGTTTGGTTTGTAAAGAGACATCATGGCAGTTATTTTCCAGATACCACCGATAATGCAGAAAATACCTTATTCTTTAATAGTGTGTCAAGCAGTACAAAAGATGTATATTGTATCCATAACTAGCATATTGATCAGTCACCTTCCTTTTACAGCCCAGAGACAGCAAGTCGCTCCAGAGACTTACCTGTAGGAAAAAAACATAGGTTTGGTCAGGATAGCTCTACAGCTTTACAAGATTCTTCAGTCAGCTTTGGAAAACGTAAGTCTGTAAATTAAGGAAAATATTTAAGTCCAAACTACAATCAACTCTGAAGCCAACAGCAAAGTATTAAATGTGGAAAATTTAAGTCTAAACTACAGTAACTTCAAGATTATTGTCTAAACTACAGTCGACTTAATGTCTGTTGAACCATAAATTATGGAAAACATTCTGAAACTTAATATGTTTAATATAACCATTGATTTAAATGGGAAAAGATGTTTGCTGTGTTGCCTAGTACACTTCATTGGATATTTAGACTTGAACCTTAAGATACAATAAAAAAAAAAAACCTTGATCATTCAAAAGTCTTCATACTCACCACCTAGAACTCAAATCTGTTCAAATTAATCCAAGGCCTGGCTCGTATAATTTTACAGTTGACAGTACTGAAGATTTGATACGACGAGGTGAAGCTTTGATACAGCAAACAAAAGCAGGCGAGGAATCACGATCACTTGTAAGTTTGAGCTCAAATTTTGAGAACCCATTTTATTTGTTTGTAACTAGACTCACTAGAGAGAAAACTCCTACAAAAATTACTGGAGAATATTTTACACCAATGTAATGCAATGGAGGATGTAATTTTCTTCTTGAACTGTACCAGAAATTATTTCAATATGTGATCTAATAATATACTCTGTAGTGGCTTAATTATGTTGGACTTATATTTTATTATGGTCATCCTTGTTGGGACTAGTTCTTGGGAATTAAACTTTTATGCCACAATGACCTTGGCAGTATACAGAAAATTATGTCAATGGATATTTAGCTCTCCTGGCCCAAAGGGCCAAGTAAGCTCATGCTGTGGCATGGTGTTTGTCATCTGTCCAGCATCAACTTTTCCAATTAAACAACTCCTTCAGAATAATTAACCAACCAAATGTCATAGTATTGGCTGGTGGATTGCTGGGATGAAGCCTGTATGGGGAAAATGAAATTACCTTGACCTTCAGTCAAAGTCACAGGGGCTCAAATTTGTTTGAACATTTGAACAACTTCTTCGGACTAATCAAAAGGCATAGTATTTGGCTGATAGGTTCTAGAAAGAAGCCTGTCTAAGTTCATGAAAAGAAGTGACCTTGACCCATATTCAATGTCACAGGGGTTGAATTTGTCTGAAGTTTTTAAACCAATAAAAAAAGCCCTGAAGCATGATGTTTCGCTGATAGGTTCCCAGGATGAAGTCTGACAATGTTTGCTTAAAAAGAGAAGAAGGTCTTGACCTACATTCAAGATCACTGGGGTCAAATTTCTTAAAACCTCAAAATGACTTCCTCTGACTAATCAAAATGTGCATAAGCATAGTATTTGGCTGATAGGTTCCTAGCAGGAAGTCCAACTAAGATTAGGAAAAGAGGTAACCTTGGCCCTTATTCAAGATCTCAGTGGTTGAATTTGTTAAAAACTTTTAGCAACTTTTTCTGAATAATCCGAAGGTGCAGCAACTTGATATTTGGCTGGTAGTCTCTGGGATGGGATGAAACCTTTCAAATTTTGCAAAAGTGAAATTACCTTGAACCATATTCAGGGTCAGAGAGGTCACATTGTCAAAACCTGTCATAAGACATTTTCTGTCAAACTAAATGTCTGAAAAGCAGAATATTTGGTGGAAAGGTGTTTCTAGGTCAACACACAATATGTTACATGAAAAAAAGAAATGACATTTACCTTTAATCTACAACTATCATTGTTTAGAGTTGAGAATCAGAAAATGTTTGTTGTGAAAATTGGTTCAAATTGATTTGATTTGCCCGCTTTGAATGCCAATGATGCAAATGTGTTAATGTATTAGTGATGAACACTGATTCTATATTTGGTGAACATTGAATACCAGGTTAGTGGAACATTATGTTTTACAACTAAAACTTGTTCAAAGAGTAATAATAAATTGTCCAGTGTCATAAGGTTACAGCATTCTAATCATTCTAGTTGAGATTGTGTAATGATTTAAAAACTATTGTATCTATTAAAGGAGGAGAGTTTCCTAAAGACAAGGCCTACATTACAGGCACTTTTAAATAATAAACCTGACAGGGTGCAGTCTAAAGATCCAGGTAAGTCATGGCTAGAGGTTAAAGCACAGCAATTCAGAATATTTATAGGTGAATTTCGGAAACTAGACTTTGTTAGATTCATCTGACAAATCTAAACATCTCATATGCCTGTCAATAATGTAACTGGTTGTATTGCTATGTATATAAAACTGACAGGTATCCTTTGATATACCATGTTAAAGAAAAGTTTGATAATGACTTGTGATCTTTTGGGTTTTCGTCTCTTATTAAAGTGCTTCATTTATAAACTGTATCATTGCTTATAAAGTATGTTAAGGTTAATTAATGCTCAATATGATTATTTGATGTCAAATACTTAAAATGAAATTGTAAAGTGTAATTTTGTTACTAGGTGTGATATTATGTAGACCTAATGCAAAGTGATATTGGCAATTCAAAAATTTGTGATAGTTCTCTAAAGATACGTTTAATTTATTAATGATTGTAATTTTATCTTATAATATTTACATTTTCCATAATATCCTTAGTAAACTTGTAAAACCAAATTTTATAGTCTTATATAGTGATTGACATGGTTGGTACATTCCTCCCTAGCTGTTCAAACTACCACCCTGGAGGATAAGCTCAAATCAGATCCCTCCTATGCCGCACGATCTACAGACACACTGTTGGATCATTATACTGATCTCTACAACACAAAGTACAATGTTAACAGGGATCAGCATGGCCACAGGTATTTATAATGAAGAAAAATACAAATAAACTGGTTTATACATAATTAACAGGGACCGACATGGCTACAGGTATTTATAATGGAGAGAGAAAAATACTGATAAATCAGTTAATGAGTGTATCCTTCATGACTTCTTTAGCATCATGTTGAACAGGACTTTCTGCAGTTTATAGATGTCATGATACATGTTTGTATTGCTCATCAGCCTCATAGATGATGTGTATTTAACTTTTAAAAACAACTAGAAGTAATATTTTGATGTTTAACTTCCATGTCAATCATCAAAACTTCAGCATCATTGTCACTTTGATTAAAAAAGAGGTAGGACTCACTGCAGTTGTGTATGAAGCAAAGGGATAGGTAACGAAGAAGTGACAAGGCCTGCAATACAAGCAGTTTATAGATATTATTTTACCTGACAATTTTGTCACATATTATGGAATATGTCACATAGTCCTAAATTATCTGAGACAGTTATTTCTAGACATGTGTGTTACAATAAATGTGTCATACTTGAAAAGATTTTCTCCACAACTGTTTTCAATAGTTGACTATGATATATGACTTGAAAACAATCAAAGTTTAAAGAATGAAAGAGACAAAAAAATTGGAAGTGAAAGAAAAATGTACTTTTTGGAAACATGGATTCAAATTTGATATTATTGTAATATAAATGTTCTTTTCCTTTTGAAGACAAGTTACCAAGGACCAGTTAGATCCTTACAACAATCTGTGCTACATGGTAGAGGAGACAGCAGCCATGGCAAGGGATGCTGTCGGCGTCTCACCCAACCGTGCCCGCATCATCCTACAGAGTATGGACAACAGCTACAACAAACAGACTAGGTAAGTATTACTATAAGTAAGGGTTGTATCACTCGCGTGGATTTAATAGATAAGAACTTAGATTTATGTAATATGTAGATGGATTGACAAAGTTTAATCTCAGTATCACTTGTGTAAGGAATTATCCTTCTGCTTTTTAATTCACAATTTAACCAAGACGGTGAAAAACGTGGGCAGACACATTTGATAAATGAACAGAAGGTTTACAATAGCAAACTCGGGGAAGTATGTTCACTCAAATCTTGGAGACACATTATATGTTGTTCTGTTGCTGAGAGGATTCTTAACAAGAGGACATGGATGTTGCTTTGTTATTTAGGCTCAGATTGAAAATGAATTATCTTTACCTACTTTCATGGTCACAGGAATCAAATGTGTTAAAATTGTCAAACAGCAACTTCTAAACATCCCGAAAGTCCAAGGGTGTTGATAATGGGCCTGTAGCATACTGTGAAGAAGGACTACCAAGTTTGTTAAATCACCCACCTCTTCTAGCCTTAGAATGGGCGAGTGATTCTGCGGGCCCCTTGTTATCTACTTTTCTATACGACAGATCAATACATATGTATATTGCTATTTAGTGGTCAGATGTTACGAACAGGAACTGCTCTGATTTCAGTCCAACACGACGTGGTGACAGAAGTCCTCATCGGAAGACCAAGAGTCCTGTAAGACAGACAGTCAGTGATGATGACCTCCAGTCTGACACAGAGGTAGAACTTTTGTAGTGTTATTTCTCAGATGAATGCATGTCAGACAACGATATTCTCTATTTTCTCATTGAAAAAGCATCGTCAGTACAGGTTTATCAACTCAACATTGTTGACGTCTTAACATTTGTCTATGACTACTTTTGAAGAGATAAAGATATAATATTAACTTTTAAAAACTTTATTTCATTTCCCTTTTTCTGACTTTTTTTTACTGTGTTAATACATAGAATTATCATGATGATGAGTTATCTTACACATGTTTACTTGTGATAAGTGTTTTTCATCAAAATGTTTCATTCTGTTGTATTTCTTTTCCAGCTTACACCAAGCAAAGCCAAACGAAAAGTTTCTTTCCTGACAGACCGATCCACTACAGATTCCAGTCCTAGCTTCCTTAAATCTAGTCCACAGTAAGTACAGTGAATTGGAGTCATCAGCTTTGTTTGCTATGGAAATTATTTATTTTGTGTGTACAAACAATCATGACAGTATAGATATTCATTAAATGTAACCAAATATGTCACTTTCAAGTCTTAAACATCACTTAAAGATGTAATTAGATTAAGTTAAATGAAATTTACACTTTCTATTTTGTTGGGATCCACTGAAGCTGTTTGAAATTGTTGTTTGATTTTCCACAAATAAAATATTTATGATCCTTTTTTCCATTTTGCATTCCCTGTGGGTTTTCTGTAGAGTAAATCACCATGTGTGGAAGTTGGCAGGACAGAAATAGGTTGTATTACATGTTGTGATTTGTTCCTGACAGCAAATCACCACCTCGTAAAGCATGGCAGGAGAAAGATGTGCGGTTTGAGCCATCACCCACAAGACAGTTAGGGAGAGGGAGGAGTGTCACCCGTCCTAGTAGGAATACAGAAGACTATGGTAGCTACCTTGCTGACGTGGAATCTCGGGAGGAAAAAGAGAATTCATCAGCTTATGATAATTACCTTAAAAAACAGTATGTATGGCTTAATAAATTACAACTGGATGTTGAGGACTGATCTTGATATGGAAAGATAATTTTTTAATTTCTGTGTTTTAACAATAGAGTGAAAAACTACACTTCAGGGACATAACATTTTGATTAGAAGTTTCATGTTAATGTTTTTGTTTGCATTCATTTCAATAAGAATGCCAAATGTTCTCCTCCTCTGAGTACATCTTATCTATGAACAGGTTCCATGAGATCATTGATGAAGTGCTTAGTGATGATGAAGTCCTACCTCCAAAGTTCAAGTCTCGGTCAGACCAACGTAGAGTCAGAACTGACCGTGTCCCAGACAAGTCAAAAGGCACCTACAGTGTCATGGATACTCACAAACTGATGCAGAAAGAGAGAGCAGCTGGGAAGAAAAAAGTTGATGTAAGTTCAAACTTCTTACAAGTATAAGTTGAAAAACATATTGTTTTCATACTTAGATGATCAGAGTTGAACTATGGTGATAAAGCTTTCATAATCGAGTCAAACAAAAGTGGTAGATGGGTTGTGAAGCAGAAAATTGATGTTTATTTATTGAAATATCAAGGCACCAACACTATTCAGACTACCAGGCAGTGTCTTTTACGTCAGTCAGAAAATTTCTGTCTGTTTATAATAAAAAGCATTCTATAAGATAATGTTTTTTTAGCAGCATTCTATAAGATAATGGTTTGTTAGCAGCATTCTATAAGATAATGGTTTGTTAGCAGGACAACCACAGCTATACTTATTCACTTTTTCATCAATTTGTATAACTCGAAAAGTTTTCAGTAACTCGGGTAAGGCATATAAATGGCCAAACTCTAACATGGAAGTTAAATACAGACTAGAGGCTATATATAATAGGTAGATAATGAAAGCCTTAGTCAGGTAGAATTTATTCTCTTTTTGTAGTTTCTACACAAGATATATCAGGAAGACCTTGATGAACTGAAATATGAGGCCAAACATGAACTGAAGAAGGAAAGAAAAGTTGCCAAGGATACAGTAAGCATCACCTTTTCTTGTAAAAGTGTAACACCGAGATTGAGAGTCTTTTTTTTGTTATCTTGTGCTTATTTTTAGGTAATTATAAATTGTGTCTGGTATAATTGTCTTGACTTTAACCTCATTCACTAATCAACAATAAATTTTAAATGATTCAATCATTTTACTGCAGGAAGCAGACTACAAGAAGAAAGTTTTATCTGGTCCAAAAAAAGCTAGTAAACCCAAAGAGTCAGGTAAGTAGTTTACTGTGTCACGAATACTTTGCTGGTCTGGATAAACTGACTTTATAAATGACTTATATGTGCTTTTGTGTGTAAAGCAGTGTTGAATTTTTTTCTGTGATGATTATATGTCTACAGTACTTACAAGTGGGATCTAGCTATTGTTTTGTTATCTGCTACAGGATCTACCAGAAAGAAACCTACAGTTAGTACCAAAGCCAAGAGGCGATCACCAAGTCGACTGATACCTGCAGGAAAACAGAAATGTACGTATTGTGCAAAGTCATAGGACCACTGATAAAAAAAAGTTTTTCGACGGTTACCTAATAACTGGGGCATTCAGACAACTACAGGTATAACACTAGTTTATAGAAGTGTATGGTGATAACTATTCTTGAACAACAGGGGCACTTTTGCTCACAGAATATCTGTTGAGCTTTTCTGAGATTTATATTGATTTGTTCTTAGGCTGGTTGATATTGAAATAAAATTCAGGATGTGTGCATAGAAATGAGTTTAAATTTCAATGGATAGAAAATAGCAAAGACTTTATCATATTCATTCAATTTCAGTTTGTAGCAATATGTATATATTTTCAGTAACAATCAAAGATGATGAAGACATCTTACCAATACTGCTAAAGGAATTTCCTCATCTTCACCTGTCTTTGCACACCTGGCATGAACTGTGGCGTAAAGGGATCAACCAAATTGAGCAGGTCACAAGGGCCAACCAGGAAGTTAGACGCAAAAAGTCACGTGCTAAATCAGAGGTAGGATTCTCTTGTTGAAAATAAGTACTTTGTAGACATAAGTTGTTGAAACAAGAAGAAAAAAAAGTATGGGTACCTTTTGTTTTGCTGGAAAACTAGCCATTTCTCCTAGTATAAGTAACTCTGATCGTGGTATCATTTAATTTGCATTCAATTCAGTTAATTGGGGAGATACTTACGTTTGGTTCTGTTTCAATCAAACTAAGGACATGTATCTTTGTCTCATAAACATTTCCTAGTTAGTCATCAGACTGTTCAAGCACTGTTGCATTTTAGAAATGTCCTTGGACGGTCAAAGGAGTATTGTTTATATCCAGACCTGCGATCTGTATAGATAGCTCAAAAGTAAAATTGACTCTCATGTATAGTGTATCATGATTCTGTGAAGCCAATGTTCTGTTTACCACGATTAGTTAATACAGCATTATACTTTTTATTGATTATAGCTTGAGGAAGCTGAAAAGAGACAGCAGATTATGGTGAACATTATGAAGAAAGAGCTTGAACATCAACAAAGAATGGCAAGTTGAACCACTGATATAGATAAAATGGAATTATATGTATTTCTCTACATACCCATTTTTAGGTTTGAAGAATCCCATAAACTTCTGCAAAGTAATCCATGTGTGATAAAGTACTCTAAGAAATTTAAATGTTATAATTTATTCAAGAAAATTGAATACATATACATTTTTTTCCTTTAGACGTAATGTCTTAATGCTCAATACAAAAGAACAGAGTGTAAATATGTTGCAGTTGTTACTAGTAGGTACCCTGCAGGTAGGTCGTAAGTTTCTACCTGTTGCCCCCATTTGATGATCCTTGGAGGTGATTTAACTTGGAATCTAGATTTTTTTCTCTCCTTTCTAAACATCACTCTTCTTTCTTTGTAAGGCATTCACACCTGTGTTGAAGGCTTTGTGTTCTGTCCCCTGGCCAAAATATACAAGCAACTTTATAAAAGGAAATAACTAGTCCCTGCTAAATGTTCAGCTTTATGTTAGTGTAACAGCTGGTTCACCACATTGTCAGTATAATGTGACTGAGTGGGGTACCCTACTGAAGACTTTCAGCAGTATACTTCGTTGTGTTATCACATTTAAAGTTCTCTACTATCACTAGGAGGGTTACAACAATGTACCACAACCTCCCAAAAACAAACACAATCTACTCACCTCACATACATCCAAGCTATCCTTAAATTGACATTAAACAATACATCAAAACCAATGTTTAGGGTAGAGTAATAAACTGGTTTTATCTCATTAATTTGCTTCTTTTTACAGAAAGAGATTAAAGAAAGACAGACTCAGGGAGTAGCAGCTAGAAACAGGGTACATGAAAAACGTGCACAGTCTGCGAAAACACGACAGTATTATGACGAATATCAGGTACGCATGCGCTCCAAGATGCTGAAAAGGCGCACAAAAGAGGAGATGGTATTTAAGAAACTGTTCAAAGATGGTCTGGATATACAAAAGGATCGAGTAAAGGAGCTAAGGAAGTATGCCAAAGAACAGCGTGATAGCCAAGCCAAAGTACAGAGGAATGAAGTGGAGTCTCTAGAAAATTAGTATCCTTGCACACTTCTTGAAATTGTTTCTACATTAACTCACAATATTTATCTTTGTGGGGGATAGCCTTAGTTGGCTAACAAATACACATTAATCAGTAGTAGGGTGGTAGAGCACATTTCAGGGTCTTTTAATTTGATGTTCAGTATTCAAATTTTGTTTGCTTTTTAACCCCCAAAAATTGTAGTGATTCATAGACTACATAATACTGTTGTGAGCTAGTGGGATAAAACATGTAACAAGTTAAATAGATAGGGATAATGTTTGTCTAGGATGATATCAGTATTACATGATACGGAATATAGTAACTTATGATACTTCTCTAAAATAATCAGTATTACATGATACAGAATATAGTAACTCCTAGTAATGTTGTGTTAGTGAATCTACTTGACATTACAGCATTGGATTTTACCACAGCCTTGTTGTTTTATACTTCTCTCCAATCAGTTGATTTTCTTAAATCTTTACAAAGGCAAATGTACTTCCACAGGTATCCGTGCTGGTTTAGGATTTCTCATGAGAAAAAGTATACAAATGTTTTAAAAGCTATTCTGGTTTTAACCAAATTAACTGTTTTTTTAAGTGTCATATTAAGTCATATCTAATTCATATTAACTAGAAACTAGATACAAATTGGACCAATAATGGCAGTAGCTTCTCAACAAAGTGTAGTTAAAAGCATTTTTCTCATTTTTCTGCAATTGTTTGTCCCTAACTTGTGTCTAGTTACCGTGACCAGTTTGACATGCTAGCAGAATCTGTTGCCAAGGAACGTAAGGAAACACAGACCAGGGAAAAGGCCCAGCAGAAGGTGAATACTCCGATATTCAGTCTATCAGTATTATATTTCTATGTGTGCTTGTTGTGGTTTTATTTCTATTTTGTGGAGCTTGTACATAATGTTGTAGATATGGATTGAAGAAATGGATTGAAGAAAAGGTGCAATTTTGCAGGATTTTTTTTTTCATTTATGACAAACAGCAATTTTATTTTGATGAACATTGGATACCAGGTGGATGATGTTTCAAAAACTTATTGATCAATTTTTATCTAGGTTTTCTCTGTCCTATCTGAGTTGTAGAAGAGAAATTCTTCATATTTATCATCAGTGTCCTAAACATATACACAATATATCTTTTCCAGGTGCTAGAACAGATGAAGAAAGAGCTTAGACGAAAAATGGAAAAGGAAATTAAGGATTTACAAGATCAGCTGTGTCGGGATGACGATGATGCTTACTTCAGACAACTGGATGCTGACCGGGTCATCAAAGACTTGCAGATTGCCAAGTACCATGTTGGTGTATAGCTTAGAAGTCTTCCTAAATGTTTCTCATGTTTAGTATATAAAAGTGGTAACTGAACAAGACGCTGCTGGCCTGCAGAATCCTGTAAACAACTGTGATATTAGAGTGATTTATAAACAATGTAATTATCATGTCTGGAACAGTCACAAGGTAACAATGTTGGTCAAAATGTAGTATAAATTTTTATGTAGACAAATTATAGTATTATGTAATTTATATATATTATACCTAATCAGGTTTCCTAGTTGATTTTTCAGTTTTATCTATGTATTTCTTAGGTTCCACATTCTGCTACTTTGCTAGTTTTGATGGTGATAACGATTTCAGTAAAATTTGAACCTGTACTCACAGCAAATTCACATGGTTTCACAAATAGAAATATTTTCTGCCCCATAATGGTGTAATTAAGTGTGCTTTGCTAAAATGTTTAAAAGAATGATGAAGTACGATTGTGTGTGAATTTGTTAACTGAAGTGATCAAACTTCAGCTTGAATTCATCGTAAGATGTTAAAAGTATGAGAAAGTTCCAGTAGTTAACATTTATTGTTTATGAAAGATTTCCAAGAAATTTCTCATTTTCATGAAAATTCTTGAAATGATATAGTTTTGTTACTTTAATTATTTGAAATAAATGATTACAGCTTTGCATTTTGAAGTTTTGCAAAAATCTCATAGTCAATGGTTAATAATTCGAATATGGAATATATATATATAAATCACCTGGTAAGGGGGGATAATCTAGGATATCTGGGATATCAGACTATTTAGGGACCAATGTAGATATTTGTTTTTAATATTGATACTGATTCAATCTTCAATTGTCTACAGTTGTTCATTTTCTTTTTTGTTAGTGTTCTTTTTTTGCATTATAAAAAGATGTTACCTTATGTATATATAGACGTTGTAGAAAAAATGTATTTAATAAGGAAATAGTCCGTCCATTTGTATTTTTGTATGTGATGAGATACCAGTGTACATATCCATGTCATATCACCAGATCATGATTAAAATAGCTTTGTCCAAACTAGCCATATTCATTCAACTCATGGTTTCAGGTAAATTTGGTTGGTTACATAGAAGTTGATGGAAAGCAATCTATGTTTTATGTTTTCACCTAATGCAAAGCAAATCACCTCAAAACCAGATAGTGAAACAGCAGTCAACGTTTCAGTTTAAGTCAGCCTCGTATTTGTGTGTGGTACTGTAATATGTATAGTACTGTACAACGATCTGGAATGTTGGATTTGTCAATAAAATGTGAAATGTATGCCGACATGTTTTTCTCATCGAATATTCATACTTCATGCTCTCTCGACCTTCAACTTCTTTTCCAAAGTTCAAATATTTTGCTCATATAGGGTCAAATAAAAACACAAAAATTATATAAATACTCAATACTTGTCAGATGTTCCTCCATGAATTTTTTTTTTTTTTTTTTTCGTTTTAAATTGTTCAGCTAAATAAAGACATTCCTAAGCACACCATAATGAATCAAGAAGGCAGAAATCAGAACCCGACCCATCTTTCCTTGTTGTGTGCATGAAACAAAAACAAGTAACAAAGCAGAGGAAACTAGGTTTCATCAACGAATTTTATCGCCATCCATATGATACAGCTCTCTCACGATCAACGGGCAAACCAAACCATCTTCCATGGAACTTTATGAGAATTCAGATGAAAATGCTCTGTTTTACCCAAGCATATGTAAATGACGTCCATGTTGTCATGTAGTACTGGTCACGCTACTTAGGTAACTGGGTCGACATCTCTGTCTGTCCTTAGTCGGAAATTCTTTATTTTCACGAGCTCTTACTCCATGTCAAAATAATTTGAAACTTTTGCTTGCGTTCCATATAACATCGGTTTCATATTTAGGTGCTGTAATTACTAGATATTTTCTAACGAAAAAATAACACTTGTGGCGATAAGTTCTTGAATATACGAATCATTTCACTTGGTTGATATGTGTGCACACGACTTCCATGTATTCGTAAGCTTGTCATTAATATCTGAATGTTCTGGTTAATTTTATACATCAAATTGTCATTCATCTTTTGACAATTCTCTTTTCCTGAAATATAGTGAAGTTTTGAAAAGAAAATGTAGCTTATATACTGTACGTCACTGATAGATAGGCTTTACTTCAAACGGATGATCATGTGAAAACACGCAAACACACGAATTCAGCGTGAAGTAGATCGCGGACTATCCCAGCCTTTTCTCACGTGTGTCCGGGTTCTGGATCAAACATACTAGGGAAAAAGTATATAAAGATGTTCAAATATCATTATATTGCACAACATTGTAAATATTTGATATTTTAATGGGGTATTCTAATTTATGTTCCCACTTCCATCGATATCCGCCATACACCAAAAGTAAGAACATATGCATGTGACTTTGATATACGATGCAGCTGGATATGTTTAGGACATGTCTCTCGATCACTGGTCAGGGATCCCGTAATTCAAATTCAAATTCTTTATTCCTTTGGTCTTTCGGCCAGATAGTTTTTACATATAACATAAACTACATAGTATGATACAATATTGTAGAGAGTGATATGCCCTTAAGTTTCAAAATACTGCATGTATTACACATTAGATAAAGTGATATATTCAATAAATCTGACAACATTGTCACATAAGATAGATACTCTTGTATACAGGTAGTGAGAATGATCTTAGAAATCATAGTAAAGTATAGCACAACTTAGCATAGTATGGTAAAGCATATTATAGCATAGTGTAGCGCAGTACAGTATGGCCTGGCATGGCATGACATGACATTCAAAACACCAGACATAATACATGGAAAATAGAAAATAGATTTCAGAAGTAGAAAAAAAGACAATAAAAACGGAAAACACCATGAACTTCCACAAAACAAACGGTGAGATTAGCACCTGTTCTGTATGCGAATGTGATAAGCAACACGTTTAGGGGAAGGAGGGCGTGGGATGGGGGTCGAGGTTCTGTAGGAATCATCTTGTCTCTCTACATTAGTATATGAGAGACTATAATTTGCAAAAGGCATTGGTGGTCTGACAAATGACAGGTTGTGATATTCAATGTGTTAAACAGGTAAACATACACATACCTGACTCAAGGTTAAAAACATTCTCTAATCAATATGTCATACTTAAGAAATCGGTGTCAAAAGCAAAACAAAAATTGTTTAATGAATTAATGAACAAAAATTATTCAGTAATTTAATGAAGGCATATCTCTACCTACCGACCATCCTGATTTTCTATATAGAGAAACAGGATGGTTACCTCTTTCAAAAAGAAGAGAAGCTAGGAAGCTCTCCCTCTTTTACTCTATAGTTAACAACTTGGCACCTGATTTCCTTATTGATTTATTACCTGATATTGTTGGTAACTTAGTTCCCTATAATTTAAGACGAGCCCATTTAATGAGAGATCAACAATTCCGTTTACAAATATCTCATAATTCTTTTTTTCCTTCTGCAACTAATCTTTGGAACAACCTGAACAATGATATTAGAAATTCACCCACTTTAAATTCTTTCAAGCTAAATCTTAAAAAATCTATGTATGTGAATAGTACTCTTCACAAGCAATTTATTAGTTATGGCTCCAGAAAATTAAATATCACCCACTGTCGTCTCCGAAACCGTGCAAGTCCACTCAATTATGATCTTTTTAGGGCTAATCTTGTAAATTCACCAGAGTGTCAATGTGGGCACCCGTGTGAAGATTCTTATCATCTTTTTTTAGTTGTCCTTTATATGCTGATCAACGTAGAGCACTATACCAAGAATTAATATGGTATGACGGTATTGTTAATGTAAATATTCTTTGCAATGGTGACTCTAATATCTCTGTGGATGATAACCTTAAAATGGCCAAATCGGTCCAAACATTCCTAGGAAGGTCAGGAAGATTCACTTAAATTCTCTCTCCTCCTCCCCACCCCACCCCCACCCCACCGCACCCACCCTTTCTTTTCTCTTTCTCTCTCTCCCATTCTACATCCCTCTTGCTATCTCTCTTTCCCTATGCCACACCCTGTTCTTATCTCTGTCTGTTTCTTTATTTTTTGTCCATTTATACATTTTACATAAAAAGACTATTATAATAGTTTCGTGTCACCACGTGACCATATTTATGTAAATGTTTATGTGTATGTTGTAGGAGAAGTCATTTATAAGTTGGTAAAACTTACTGACTAATCCTATTGTCAATGTCATTGTCAATAAAATATGTTTAAACTAAACTACCGACCCTACTTTTTATCTGATCAGAAACTAAAAACATTTTTTCGCATCTAAAATTCATTTCTATTGATTTTCTGACGATATGTAATTTATGAAACTCGTTACATCAGTCCTTTTTCCAGCTTGCCTAAGGCTCGCTATCATGAAAATTTCTATAATATGTGATGTGTGTTATTATATTGAGGTATAACGTGTTCGGGTGGCCAGATTTGATGCTTATTCACGTATCGGGTACTCCCACAGTAAGACTCTTCGCATTCTTCCACCCCGGGTCAACAAGAGTGATTACTAGAAATTGATAGCTTGTTGTAATGTACATGAAATTGACATTTTTACAAGGTTATGTGATTAGTAAAATCAATGATTTATTTAAATGATAACTTCTCGCCAAAACGGCTCACTGGCTGTTCAAATTGCGACATGTCTGCGTACAGAACAAACATTAAATAATGTAATTTGATATTTTTTCTTGACTAATTATTTTCAGAAATGAAGAGTTGTGAAGAATACCTTCATCATTTCGTTATTTTAAATGGTAATGACTCTTCATCAAACATTTAAAAGGAAAATTGACCTGAAAACACCACGGAGTTTATAATTAATAATACTAACTATGTATCCCCTGCTACGGAGGTTTATCCACGAACAGAGTTCAATCAATATATGTTGATGAAAATAATGTTATTTTCACTGATTTAAAAATAGGATATTTGGAACCCAAACTGAAATGAGGTAGGATGAAATAAAAATTTCCTTGACAATAATTTGCAAACATGTGGCGCGTAAAATAATAAGTATATTCCAATAAGGTGGTTAAAGATGTTTCGATTGTCTCCCTTTATTAATCTTATCGGAGCTGCCCACATGCAAAATTGCAATATTTGATCTTTCTTAGTTTTAATTAAATCATGCACGTTCAACATAATGATCAATAAAACATAAGATGAATTCCAGTGTTTCGCAACGAATCAGTTCGAATAAGTAAAGCCAAATGCAAAGTATTAATAGATGTTAGCAAGAGAAATAACTCTGTGTGCCTTCTAATCCCAATGACTTGTTGTTAAGGAAGGCCTTCACCGTTACCTAGTATGTCCCACGGACTTTAATATATGTAAGTTGTCCAGTTGTCATGGAGGACTTTATCAAACCAGGTGGTGTTACAAAGTAATTTACAGGTAGATAAGACATAACCCTACAGTGTAATTCTACCAACGTATACTCACAACCTCTTCACACCTCAGCTACCACAAAATTTACTCTGGAAGATAAAAATCAATTTCTTCAATATATCGACAATTTATATCTGAA